ATGATGATAATGATGATAAGATAGCCCCACCCCCTTCCTGGATACGTCCCTAATCATCTAAATTTACGATCTATAAAAAGAAAATGATTTAAGATATTTCAAATTCCATTTCACTGGATCATTTTACATACAGAGCTGAATATTTTTTGAACCCATGTTAGATTTCTACCTATAAAGGAAGCGTGTTAAGTATATGTTAGATAAATGATGTTACTAAATCATAACAATGACCTATCAACCTAGAAACCTATCAATATATGGAACACAATAGAAATTTATTAAAATTTGAATCAATTAATCAATAAATGATGAATGAATTATTTGAAATTTTTAATGATTTTTTCTGGTTTATACTGTAGAAAAATCCGCCTCATATGTAAGCAAATATCAAAAGGTCTACTCTTATAAAGGATATACATTGAATATACGAAGGTTGAAATCATTAATAACCCGAATAATATTTATTTATGAAAAAATAAGTTAATTGATGATTTATACTATGTATAACATATATCTATAATAAATAATCAATAAATGTAAAACTGTCGTTAAAAAATAAACGAGAAAAAATGGTAAAAAGAAATAAAGATATAAATTCAGAAATGGATATATAGATATGAGAAATAAATAGCTGAATAGATGGATTAAGATGACTTTGAGATCGTAGATTTTTATGCAGTTAAGGCCCAGATAGATCGATATTTTTAGACAGGGGGGAGGAGCGGTAAGATGGGCAGGGAAAGAAAAAGTAAAATTACTGAGACAAGGAGAAAATTGGTAAAAAGAACACATCCCTTTCTAATCAATAAGAGAATCAAGATTTTCATGATTTTAAAAAGTTTAGAAACGTCAGAAGTTCAGAGCGTGGAAACATTCTTACACAAAACCTAAGATCAATCTCACAAAAGCAACAAAAACAAGAATTTAAATCATGTGACACTTTTTCCCCTCTCCCCCCCCCCCCACCACCATATAGGGCAATACAACAGTAGAGCAATGTATCTGATTAGGATCTAATATTTCTCTGCTAGATGATTAGGATTTAACGATCTTCATTGAGTTAATATTTGCTTTATGAGGACAATAACGTTATAATGAGGCCAAATTTCTTTATGATGATCATGATTGCAACTTGCAAAATAAGATTTCAATGTCATCAGTGGCAGGTTCAGATGGAAATACGGCTTTATATAGATACTTGGCTTTAAAGGCGCTTCGCGCCCATCTTATATTTCAACTTTTAATTGTGGCTTTATTTGTAAGCGGATTTCATAATATTTTTTCACGCATTTTAAACATTTTACAAAAATAAAAACTTTTTAACACAAATTTTTGAAAATTCGACCATCCAATAACCTTCCTTGGGGACACAACAAATTTGGGCCCGAACTATAAACCCGTTTTGACGTTTCTTAGATATAAACAGGCAAACAGACAAGCAAAGTTTATATATATATATATTTATATATATATACATTGGATATGAACACTATGAATTGTAGTTTCTACGTTGATGGGTTGTCAATAAAATCAAAAGTCACGACATAAACCATTCTGCATTCACGAGCTAGGGATAAAAACTGTCTCTGCAGAGATATATTATTCTTAATTCAGGGATATTTGCCATTGGTAGGATGGTAGGATATATGGTAGGATGGTAGAATATATGGTAGGATGGTAGGATGGTAGGATGGTAGGATGGTAGGATGGTAAGATCGTAGGATATATGGGAGGATGGTAGGATGGTAGAATATATTTGTAGGATGGTAGGATGAAAGGATTTATGATAGGATGGTAGGATGGTAGAATGGTAGGATGATAGGATGGTAGGATAATAGAATGGTAGGATGGTAGGATGGTAGGATGGTAGGATGGTAGGATGGTAGGATGGTAGAATGGTAGGATGGTAGGATGGTAGTATATTTGGGAGGATGGTAGGATATATGGTAGGATGGTAGGATAGTAGGATGGTAGTATGGTAGGATGGTAAGATCGTAGGATATATGGGAGGATGGTAGGATGGTAGAATATATTTGTAGGATGGTAGGATGAAAGGATTTATGATAGGATGGTAGGATGGTAGAATGGTAGGATGATAGGATGGTAGGATAATAGAATGACAGAATGGGAGGATGGTAGGATGGTAGGATGGTAGGATGTTAAGAAGGTTAAAAACAAGATTTGTTTTAAAGTATAATTGTTTAGATTATGAGCATTAAAATAAATGATAACAGACAGATAAACAGATAAAAGATGTTACCATTTTCTAATTTAAATTCATTTTAGACAAGACAGAATATTTCTTGATCTAATGTTTGGATAAGAATATTTCAATATGGTAGTCGGCATTGTCTTATCTGGAATTGTTACTGCTGGGTTTTATCAAAGGTTTCTTCGTGATCTGGGTAGGCTTGGAAACAAGGACGGGGTTGGGGGAGAGGGGGGAGGGAAGGTGGTAAAAGGGACTGTAAGCGTAATTTCAAGTGACACTTCCTGTTAGGATAGCACTGCTTTTTTAACAACGATACCCTTGAAACTTTTATCTTTAATAAAAAAAAGATAACGTGGTTTTTTTTCTGACTCGAAAAGTGTTTATTTCTGTGAATTTCTCCATTTTTGCTTGTAAGCAAGAAATACGCAAGTCACATTTGCAGATATAAACCACAAATTAAAAAAAACATTTTTAAAAAATGAGGAAAATGTATTTTTAATTTATACTTGATCAGGCAAAGTTTTTAAGGGTACAATGAAAATCGGGCTTTGCCATCTTTTAAAAGAGGGTCGCTTGAAATTACGCTTACAGTCCCTTTAAAGTATTTAATTACAGAATTTTCCTCAAAACTTTAGAGAGAGTACCCTGTAGCTGCACTAGTGCATCTATTTTGCCAGATTTATTAAAAACATCTTCAACCCTTTCAAAAGTACAATTTTAACCTCCCTATTTTTATTTTCAAAAACTTTTAGGTCGTCTTTAAAGTCTCCTACTTTTTAGGTAACCCATATCGAATTGTAAATTTTCAAAATTTGTTCAAACAGAAAGTTATTCTTTACGTAGTTGGCGCGAAAAGTTTGATAAACTATCAGGTGTAAGATAAAGTACTTAGAGAATGGATTGGTTTCCTCTGGTTCTAAAATACATGTCGGAGAAGGTTGAAGAACTTTAACTAAACCAGGCAAGGTTCGGTTCAAAGGATAACAACCCCGAACTGGTTCTAAACAAACAAAAAAAATTTAGTATTAATTAAATAATAATTATTAAGAGTTGACAAAGATCAATTTGCAACTAACTGTCAAAAACTCGTCAAATTTTTCAAAATCAAATTTAACAAACCAACGATTCTATTACAAAATCTTTTATAAAACTTCATTGATTAGAAAATTTCGCACGCCTTTCTTTCTTTGGGTGTTGTTGAAACGTAATTACGAATATTTATCCCACCATCCAACCATCCATAAAACCATCCAAAAATCCAACCATCTAACCATCCAACCACCCAACCACTCATGCATCCAACAATCCAACCATCCAACCATCCAACGATCCAACCATTCATGCATCCAACTACCCAACCATGCAACCATCCAACCATTCAACCATCCAACTACCCAACCATCCAACCACATCCATACATCGAACCATAAAACTTACCAGATCCCAGTTTATAGTTCCTGACAAAAGTTAGACAATATTCTCCCTCCTGACATCTGCATGATACAACCATTTAAACGTTTTATTCTCAACTAATGAGTTTGTGCATAAAAAACTTATATTTTAAGTATTTTTATGTTCATCATTCATGATATGCTTTCTTAATTGAAAAATATTGAATTTTTTTTAAACTATTTTTTTTTTGTGTTTATTTAATTTTGATTAAAAAGATTGTTCCTGACAAGTTTTCTATCTGATTCTACACAATCTTCAATCCCTAGTGGATCCTCAGATAGGGTTCCACAAGAGTGACAGGACAGGCTTAATACTCCTACCAGATAATATAATCATTACAATTATGATGATGATAATGATGATAATGATGATATTGATGATAATGATGATAATAATGATAATGATTATATTGATGATAATGATGATAATGATGATAATGATGATAAAGATGATAATGATTATAATGATGATAATGATAATAATGATGATAATGATGATAATGATGATAATGATGATAATGATGATCATGATGATAATGATGACAATGATGATAATGATGATAATGATGATAATTATGATGATAATGATGATAATGATGATAATGATGATAATGATGATAATGATGATAATGATGATAATGATGATAATGATGATAATGATGATAATGATGATAATGATGATAATGATGATAATGATGATAATGATGATAATGATGATAATGATGATAATGATACCTGTTTTAATAAATATTTGAACTAATAATAAGCTCAGTTTCCAATCCATAATTTTCATCATTTATTTATTTATTTGTAGAAATCCACCCATATCTACACAATCATTGTTTTTCTGAAAATATTTAGTTTAAAAAATGAAAATTTGTAAAATAACGGGTTTAATATTTGCAAGGTTGTATACATATTACATACTTGAAACTCATATTTTTGTATTTATTATTTTATTTTTATATTTATTTATTTTTATTTATTATTTATTATTATTTATGTAAATAATTGTTTTTTGTGTACTTCTGCATCTTTAATGTATAAAAGGCATTTAACAAGTAAGTTATGGAAAACTAGTTACTAATAAAAATTACATATTTTTTCAAATGTTATATGAGATGCGTGATTGGGAAAGTCAGCATTGAATATTAAAAATGATCGATTGAATGAAATCTAATCAATTTTAGTTCGTAATAATTGATCAAATTCTAAAGAATTCTAAGATGGCTTACATAAGAACGTTTAAACTTCTTCACTTTTTTAAAACTATAGTTGTGAAAAAATTTTGCCAAAAAATTTGTTTTTTGATAAATAGGGTAGGGTGGAGAATGGTCAAACGGAGGGTCGGTGTTTAAAAAATCAAAATAGGCTAATAACTAAGACTTATATATATTTGAAAAGGCCTTGAAAAATTATATTATATCCATTTATTATGTATTATGTTAATATTTTTTTAAAGTAAAAATAATTTTTAAAGTTAGAGGTCTAATTTTTTTTATGAGCAGGCCTTGAAAATTTCACACACCCCTATCTCAACTCTAAGGGCAAAATCATATGGGGGGGAGGGGGGGGGGGGGTGGAAAACACCCCCCCATCTATATTAGACAAAAATAGGGATAGGGTTAAACAAATGTTTACATTAATTCATTCCTCGCTGATAAAGACGACCTGAAACTATTAAAATATGAGAATATCTAAAGTTTTCTGCCTCAAATATAGTCTTGTATGGTTTATTTAATCATTTGGTAAGTAAAGGAACACGTCTACAGTTTCAGGTAATCTTGAATACAAGGAAATAGACAGAATAAATTCTTTACAGTCGTCTCTAGAGTCTCATACTTTGAAGTTGAACCCCAGCCAAAATTAAGTTCAATGCCAAGATCACCTGATACCATGATTTCAATTTCTACTAATTTAAAATCTGCAAGAAAATTTGGCAATTCGACAACAAGTTTGCAAGGTTTGGCAAAGTTTAATCTGATCCGAACCGTATCTTTTGGCAATTATATTTCGCATACTTTCACGACGTAATGCACATTTTTGCAGGGTTGGTGGAGTAGATTTTGCAGCAGTATCCTGGGACCCTATCATCATCTATCTTCCCTTAATTACTCCTTTACTCCCCCCCCCTCTCCACCGAAGTGAGGAAGGTCAGCCGCAACAATATCTCGTCCGAGCCACATCCTCCTCATGTTCTTGTCCGAGCCACCTCAAAATTATCGTCCTTCCAAGAATATATTTTTACAATCCTTGCAGATAAAAATATTTTTTGAAATTCTGGCGACGTTAGGGAAAACTGAAATATTATATTTCCACGAACAAGTTTTAAATTTGTGAAAAAATGAATATTCTCTGTAAACGATGCTCTACAAATATGCATCTCAATGGGATAAACGAGGTGGCTCGGACGAGAAAATAAGGAAAATGTGGCTTGGACGAGAAATTGTTGTGGTTGGCCTTCCTCCTTTCATGAAGCTAGGACGAGCTCGTGATACACCTAGATTAGTTTCTCCCTGTAGAGATGATACATTCATCTCACTTGAGTCTAAATCTAACCTTGCTCCGACCACAAATACAGTACACCAAACATTATATATATATATGCACAACACCTTTATCCTTTATCATAGGCACAACTAACCGGGCAGGAGGAGGGGGGGGGGGGGTATGAATTTCACAAATCTTAATTAGTTCTATTTCCTGTGCTTACGAAACATAAATCACGAGTAAACCCAATTAACCTAAGATCGCCTTTTTACAAATTTTAAATTTTTACTTAAAAATTTAGATCTGTAGCTTTAAGAAATAACTATAGCCGTGTGTATCTGATATTGATAATGCATTTTGAATCGCACTGTCTTTCTTTTTAACCTTTTTTTCTGGGTGGTCTTCGATAGAAGGAAGAAGGCTAAGCAAAAAGCGTGAAAAGAAAACAAAATAACATTTTTTGCATCTCAGTTTTCATTACGTGATTAGTTAGCCTTTTTGTCTCTGTTAGTTGTTTACTGCCTTGCTCTTTCGGATTTAAATTTACCTAAAAAACCTGTATGTGCCTATTTTTATTCGCCTGTGTTAGGGTTTTATGTAACCCCTTGCCTCAAATTAATGTTTTGCAGCTAGCTGTATACCACTCCTCGTTTCTACCAAAAAATGCTTTGTTTTAAAAACCTTTTTGGCAATTTTAGACTGACTGTTTTTAACAGTAGGAATGCACATTGCACATGTGGGTGATTTGTGAACATTAGTAAAGAGATGTGCCTAATATGTGCGTGGGTTGTATCAGTTAATTAAATCTTTATCTTAAACCATTCTAGTCATCGGTCAGTTTAAATATACTCAGATTTGCCGTAGGCGAGAGAATAACTCATCGTTAGCTTATGTTGATGTATAAATAGGACATGTGGGGGGGTGGTGGGTCAATGACATGAAATTTAATGTTAGAGGGGTTAATGTCACTGACGTAGATTTGACAACAGAAGATGAAAGATAAGAGATGACTATGATAGCTAGGGATTAAAAAAGTCATCAAAAGAAATTAACATAAAAAATAGGATTTCAGAAAAAAGGAGATAAAAGGTTTTGATTGAAGGCAGGAATAAAACCAATTGAGTCTATGTAACAAACTAAAATTTTCTAATCCCTATATCTTTGCAACCTTATGGTGTAAACCTTTAATATTATAAATCTAGAATAAATTATTTAATAAAATTCATACTTTAAAATATCTAAGGTCTACGACATTGGGTTGGAAAGATACAATGATTAGAACATCAGAGTTTGTGGCAAATTCTCAATTCCTTTATAGCATACAATTATCTGAACGAAAGAATTCATATGAAAAACAAGCCAGCTCTGAAAGGCCTGAATAATACAGGATAAAATAAACACGAACTATCCAACTGAAAAGAAGGAGTGGAGTAAGGACAAGGTTACTAGATCTTCTCAACTTTACTCTGGGATAGATCGCTAGCACTGATCAAGGTTCAAAGATATTCCGCCCTGATAAACTTTACTCCGATTCTTCTGTCAGTTTAGGAGAAACAAACTGTAGAAATAACTGATGCAAACTACAAGGTTATTTATACCCGCCAGGGTGGATTAAACGCTATTTATGCATCCTTAAAATATTAAGTTTAAACATGGAACCATATTATGCGAATGAGACAATTTTTACGTTTTAACCCCCTTTCATAGGGTTCTTGTGTTTACAAACGATCTGGAGAAAAACTCCGTCCTTTTCTCTGCTTAGTTTATTATTGGAAAACCATGTTATTCGTTCTATTGTTGCCCCCTACCCGGAGAAACATTTTCCGTCCTGTTCTGTGCTTACGTTAGACCTGGAGAATATCAATTCTAGACATATTTGATAAATCCTCAGATTCAATCCAGATTATACATTCTTAATCTTGAATTCCTGATACCACAAAGTGTAAAATATTATTCTTGTAAATTTTACAATTTTTCAGCCCAACCCCACCTCCCTCTACTTCATTGAAACCAGTCATACATTTTATCCCAACCCCACCTACCTCTACTTTATTAAAACTAGTCATACATTTTATTCCAACCCTACCTCCCTCTACTTTATTAAAACTAGTCATACATTTTATCCCAACCTCACCTCCCTCCACTTTATTGAAACTAGTCATACATTTTATCCCAACCCCACCTACCTCCACTTTATTAAAACTAGTCATACATTTTATCCCAACCCCACCTTCCTCCACTTTATTAAAACTAGTCATACATTTTATCCCAACCCCATCTTCCTCCACTTTATTAAAACTAGTCATACATTTCATCCCAACCCCACCTCCCTCCACTTTATAAAACTAGTCATACATTTTATCCCAACCCCACCTACCTCCCCTTTATTAAAACTAGTCATACATTTTATCCCAACCCCACCTTCCTCCACTTTATTAAAACTAGTCATACATTTTATCTCAACCCCACCTACCTCCACTTTATTAAAACTAGTCATACATTTTATCCCAACCTCACCTACCTCCACTTTATTGAAACTACTGATCATACTGATCATTTTAGCCAGCGATAGTTTTATTTAGAAAAGCAGGTTTTGCTTAAGTGCCACAAAATAATTTTTTAATATTTCAATACCCCACCCCCCTACCTACCTTCAAATCCCCCCCCCCCTACCTACCCACCATCGAAACCCCATCGGAAAGACTGCTTCAATGCTCATTTAAATAAAATGCATGAATTTGCATAATGTGCAAATTCAAAAATGTCAGGCATGTTTTCAAGCAAAAAATCAGCAGAAGACTGTTAAATATTTCCTATTCAATATTATGTGGCAGACAGAGCCAGGATGGGGCTGGACAAATTGTCTTGTCAACGAAACGGAGGTTTTCGAAAATAAACGGAAGAGTCCGTTAACGAACGACAAAACCGTTAATTTTTAGATCGTTAACGAAACTGCTTAGCCGTTTTTGAAAAAAAATTGAAAAAATTAACTGTTAAAAACGAAGCGGATTTTTTTAAACCATAAATTTCGGGTTTTTTGCTAAAAATTGTATTAAACTTGTAAAAAAATATTTTTTTACGTGTTTTGATATTTTATTTTTTTTTCGAGTCGTTGACTCTGTTAATAATGTAAAAGATTTCTTAGACCGATTCACGAACTTTTTCAGCGCTTCGCGCCTTTAACACCTTTAATTTCGTTTCGTTCTTACCCTCTAAAACTAACGGCTATCTGAGATTTTATTTTAAAAACGGTTTGGAACTAATAGTTAACGAAACAACTTGAAAAACCTGGAACGAGACCAGCCCTGGTGACGCATCCCCATCTTACATTAACTATAAGAAAGTCATCGAGA